AAAAAAAAAAAAAAAAGAAAAAAAAGACAAAAAAAGAAAAAAAAGAAAAAAAAAAGTGCAGAAGGAAAGAGAATCGTCTCACATCGTGTTCTCCACCCTCCCAAAAATCGTGGCAGATCAGCCGTCACGCGCGTGCGACGGATCTTCCGTTCCCACAGAAAACGTAAGTTCGTCTTGAATTGTCGAGGTTATTATGCGTCCATCTCGCGTCGACGAGAGACGGGACGAAGTAAGGAGAGAAAGTAGATCAATCCGCGTACTTTTTTCCACGGTATCGTAGAATCGAGAATATCGGGGAACGATCGAGATAGAAACAAAGGAGGAGAAAGGTAACTTGTTTAAGGGAAATAGAGAGATGAGAGACAGTGAACGTGATCAGTAGACTGCGGATGTTTATGCGATTTTGTATTTTTACGAGCACGATTTAAGCTAGCGCGATCTAAACAAAGGAATTCGTCGGCATGCTCGGACGTCGTAAATTTGCCAAAAAATGTACAAATATCCGCGGCCTAGCGATTAGAAAGCGGACGAAGCGCGATCGCTATGCTTTTCATCTTTCTTTCTCCGTTCAACGTATTCGCGGCTGACGTGTTTGAAATTACAGTAGGCTCCCTCAGACAAATAATATTCCAGCAATAAAAACACCTTGGCTTGACGTGTTTGACATGTTACACTTGATTATATTTGATTGTCGATTGCATTGTTCCGAAATTATTGTACTAATAAAAAGAAGTCACGGTCTGTTTTCAGATTACATTTCATTGTCGATTGCATTGTTCTGAAATTATTGTACTAATAAAAGAAGTCACGGTCTGTTTTCACGGCAAACATCGTCCAGTTGAAAGTGGGTTAAGAGGAAGTCTACTGTGAAGATTGTTAAATTAAATCTCAATTTTTTTTTCTTTTCTTTTAGTTGCCCGGTGATTCATTTTAATGTATTTTAATGTGACAACTCTAAAAAATTCGCGTCGACACCGCGATCAGCAGAATGAATCAACAGATCCACGAATATGTTAACAACCGTTAAATAGGAGATTTAATAAATTTCTGAGTTTCTCGGTTTGCGATTAACAATGGAGATTTTCGTAGAGACAAGGGGAAAAGGGAGCGCAAAGCGCCGCGAGCACGTTGGTAGCAGACACGTGTCGAAGCAGAATGGTCCTCTGAAGGGGCAGGAGAATGTATGATACTTGATCGAAGAAATTGAAGCAAGAAAGACGAGAGAAATAGACGGTATTTTTACACACAGTGAATATCTTTTTTTTTTTCTTTTTAGTTGACTTTTATCGATGCTGGCTGCAGCCGGCTTCGTTTTTATGTATCTTTGTTTTTATCATGTTTGTAACGATCTATGCACATATATACGTATAATTACATATATACATACACACACATATATACATACGTGTGTGTGCATGTGTGTGTGTATGCATGCATTTACAGTGGCTCACGAAAGTATTCGGACACTCGTCGCAGAAGAATATTTATGCATATATATTTTAAGTTACATGAAACGTTTTGAAATTTTATCGACACTATAATAGAACGCGATAATGTCTTTATTATAGCTTCTGATCAACTTGAAAATTTGTAAAGGTGTTGCAGACGCAATGATTTATTACAGACATGTATCTAGTAGAAAAAAGATTAATGTTACAACGCGAATTTTTCTGTTTCTATCTTGTTCTCACTTTTAACGAACGAAAAGACAACTGTAGGAAAACTTTCAATGTAAAATTTTAAAGAGGAATTATCAGTGTATCTCGAATGTCTATTTTGACGTTTTTATGTGTATTTTGTGCAAACAGAAGATATCTATTATTTGTTAGGAAATTATACTAAATCGAAAGTGTAAACATGTGTAATAAATTTACAGATGATCCTACTGAATGTTCAGATTTCTTCATACAACCAATGGCCAAAGTTTCGAACTTGTCGTATAGTCATAATTATCATGTTTTACAACACACTACTAAATATTAATAAAATTTCCAAATTGTTTCACGTAACGTGTTCCACGATATATGTTCA